GGGGGGGGGGGCTGAATTTAGTGAAAGTGTTTTAAAATTTCACAAAAAGTGGGGGGCTAAGGCCCCCCCGGTTCCGCCGTCCCTGAAGATGCAGCATGCAACAAAGCTTTCGACGGATCCTCCGGTATCCCTCCGTACCAATCCTAGATTCCAGACAAACACACAAACAAACAAACACAAATTGAACTCGATAGTTAGTCATAGTTGGTTTGTATCAGTTTATCATTCATTTGTACAAGCAGAAAATATAAGATAAAGTTTTTTTAAAGATTTAAAAAATATAAAGTTTTGATCCTTTCGTATCGTTTTTTTTTTCAAAGAAGAAAAAGAAAACTTCCAGCATGAATTACGTCCCCCCCCCCCCCCCCCCTTTGCATAGACTTGCACCATTCCCCCTTTCCATAAGTCCGTTTACGTGATGTGAATAAATGAAAAAGACGTCCATTCAATTCACTTGTGGAGACTAGTCATCAGCCAAGAGGGTAATCAACGATTCTTCCTGTCGTCATGGAGAACTTCCCCACTATATTTCTTCGGCTCTACATAATTAGTTTGTCGTTTGATGATCTTAATCTTCTGACGTTTCTAAATCAACAAATATTAAACGTACCAAGAAAGTGGGAAACCTTTTAAAAAAAGATTAAAAATGAAAACTGTTTCTTGGTGTTTTGATTTGTTAACTTTAATGGCAAAAAAAAAAAAAAAAAAAAGGATAAGGCTTAAGATAGCATTTACAAATTGATGATTTCCGTTTTTATATCTTAATCGACCAGCTCGAGTAACTAGACCTATGATGTGTCAAACATTCTGTCGAAAATTTACTTCTTAAGAGTCTAAAAACCTTGGTTTTTCTAGACATGAGTTTTCTAAGCACCTTTGCCATCCTGCTTGATCGACAATAGGAGAAATTCTCGCCTTAATTACCTTTATTTCAAATCACGATCTTATGATTTCGCTATTCTGTAAATCCATGGATTGTGCTTTTTTAGCTTTTATTGTTGTCCAAGAAAGTCTACATTATAGGTTAATTCAAATCTTGCAGCTGCCATACAGACACATGGAGTTAGTCAACACTTTTCCCGTCTTTCAAAGGCCCGCTCAGTATAATTTGCATACAGTCTATACAATAAGTGATTTCCCCAAGCAAATATCGAGAAACATGAACAACCGCTGCTCTTCTACTTATCGTACAATATTTTGCATCTTACAAACAAACAAACAGAAATAAAATAAATAAATAAAACTACATTCTATTCAAGCTAAGGTTTTAATGAATCTTTATAAATCCAAAAACGATGATATAGCAAGTGTGTAGTTATAATTATCAATATTTATATTCAGTTGCCTGAAGGGACCTGTTGGGGCTGCTTTTATGTAACGCTTTATTAAGGTTAGAGCCTCTAAATTTCAGACTTAATGCAAAATTATTTTTCTATGGTAATGGTTTTAAGACTCAGATCAACGCACAGCTGCTTTGTTTCGAAAAAGCCCCTGCTATAAACTGGGCTATTTTAAAACGAAGGCCGGGCTATAATCTGACGCGTGATCGCTCGAAACTCCATGAAGGTTTACCTTTAAGATGCAACGTACGACACTCAATGAAAATGAGGCGAAAATAAATTCAAAAAGAGGAAGGACTGATTTTTATTGCCTAAACAAATTCCGCTGAGAGATTTTATCATCTCGATTAATATTCTTTTTTGACGATACTGTCGCTTTTTATTCCTATTTTTTTTCAAGGAAAATCCCCCTAGAACGCGTTTCGCTTGCAGCTGTTTTCAATCGCAATATGTATCTTAAATCTACTTTTTGTAGTGTGATTTTACCTATTATTATGAAATTTTTGAATGCTATAAAATATAGATTATGGACGAATACTTTTTCTGTTTACATTAGAGTACAGTCTTTGTTTTTCTTGTTTTTCTGTGTTTTTCTCGAGGTAGATTTATTTTCTTTAGTCTTTATTTCCTTTGCAACATCTTTGAGCTTTTTTTTCTTTTTCTCTTCGTGGTTTGTATTTGGAGTATGCCTTTCTAGGGGTTGATCATTTGCATGTTTATTCATCTCGAATCGGTTTTTCTTCTTCTTCTTCTTCACGGCTTCGTCTTTCTTTACTGGTTTGTCTGGATAAGCGAATAGTTCACGTTTATCATGACTTCCCCTGCGGCCTCCATGGCCACCGCGATGGGGCTCGTTTCCTGGGACTGACAAAGTTTTCCCGAACTTATAAGCCATTAAAGGCGACTGCCAAGGACTTGTTCGAAGTGAGATGTTAGGACTTGAAAGAGGATTCAAGCGAGTACAGCTAGCTGCTACATTTGTGATCGGATTCATCTTATTATTAATTTTTCTTCAAGTATACCATGAGAGTAGAAAGTTAGAACGGAAATCCAATGAACTGTCAAATAGTTATGAATTTCAATAAAAATGATATTTGTTCAGGGACTAGTGTACTTGCATTTTTGCTGCAGGCGATGAACTTCTGATGATTTCCAAAAATAGCTAGCGATCTCAAGTATCCTTTAAAAGAGCAGTTGATTTGGAGAGTAAAATCCCTCTTGATAAAACTGCCCACTCTAGAAAAGATTTCGTTTCTGTTTCAAACGGCAACCAAGTCGCATCCTCTGAACAGTGATATTATCAATGTCTGTCCAGTGCCTCTTGAAAGTGATTGACGCACGAAAAAATCCGCTGTACTGAAGTCTTTAAAGCTGTCACAGTATTGACATTATCATCAAGCAAAAATAAGTCACGAAGCGAACATGGACGAATATACTACTCAAGAATAACCGAATCAACTGACAGTGACTACAATATCCATCCTTCGCACACAACGATCACTTTGAAATTAATATATCTTTACAGTATTTTATCACCTACACTCGGGTCCAATCCTTATGCGACGAGTAAAAATCATTAATGAACAGTGACGATAAGACTTTTTCAACCAATCATTATCAATGCACCACGAAAGAGTTGCCAAATGATTACCGACGCAGGGGTCGATTTTTTATCTTATCAGAGAAGCAAAAAGACGCGAAGAGGAGAGTCCAAGATTATAGACAAGTCGGAAATGTCAACAAGAAAAAAAAAAATGAATAAAAAAATAGCGAAAACTGAAGTGCAAGATTTGCTGTAATTTAATCGCATGGAAAGAGCACGGAAGATCTTCTTTTGTGAAGTCAATACTCATGAAATGGTTTAGTTATGAATAAGAATTATGAAAGAAAATTTAGATTGAATTACAGTTTATCATTACGGTAGAAACATCTGCTGGGGAAGTGACGTACGAACTTGAGAATTACTTTTTTATTCAAGTTTGCGACAATTCAATAACATGGTTTGGGTACGATTTGAAAAATGTTTTTTTGATTGATGACTGAATTCTATTGTTGCCCTGACAAATATTATTGAAGCAAAAAAAAAATTTTGAATGGATTGAGTTTCAATTTTAGGGTATCTTTTTAAATTATTTAGGCCAAATTTTATAGATCGAGTGTTTTTTATTATTAAATAAATAACCACATATCTGTAGTTTTTTTATTAATAGAATGCTATTATCAACATTATTATCATCATCATCATCATCACCATTATTATTATAATTATACTAGTTATTATTATACTTCTCGCTATCATCATCATTATCATCGTCGTCGTCATTATCATCATCAT